GAGGTTTATTTGTTGCAATTACTAGTAATACAACATAGATGATACAGTAGAGTTAGAGTTCTAGTGACTAATGATACGAGTGAATTAACAAGTGAATCCAAGTTTATAAATAAGGACACTGTGGATCAGAGAGAGTTGGGAATCTCACCCTAAGCACCAAGGAAGCAACTTCTAGAGCTTTCCTAGAACTCAGCTCCTCTGTATCCAAGCTCATGTTCTTCTGGTGTCCTGTCCTGCAAAAGGACAAGCAGATAAATTCCAACTTGGTTCCAAGTGCTGAAAATGACATTGACCAAGATATGTCAGAGAAGACAAATCCTGTATGAATCGAACACTACAGGTTTTTGTGTTGTTACTGATTGGGCCCTAAATGCACTGCTTTCAGCTTTATATTAAGCTTTATTTAAAATCTGATTTACTAGAATTACCATGTGATTGGTATCTGCTGACATTTTAGTGCAAAGTAACTCCTTGGAGTTTGATTTTAAATGTTGTTAACATTTTTCTTCCTTTAAGCAGACAATTTATCTTTCTAATGAATGCATAATATTGCTTAGTATTATCCATATATGGTATCAAAATTAAGGATCCATTTTTTTCTTCTTGCACTTAAACATTTTTTTCTAATAAAAAATTAATATGTTTTTGTTATAGAAAAGCAATTTAAACATCACCCACTGAGCCAAGTTTTCACCTTTGGAGTGGGAGGTTAAAGGTAAGACAGGGGAAGAGACTATAATAATCCATGTTGCAATAGATTAGAGTTAGAGACATAAGTATAAACTCATATTTAGGTTAATATAGATACAGAGAGTTATATAAAGAACTATTTATGGATATACACGTACACAGATTAGTATAACCTATTTCCTTGCTTTCAGCTGAGAGGACTTAGAAGCAATAATACCACAACAAGAAGCACATAAGGCATCCAGATCTTATACTTTTTTCTAATAAACACAAACCAGGGCTCCTTAGAGAAGTGGCTGATTCTAGGACTGGAGCAGGAAAGTTGCAGTTGAGCCTGGAATATCTCATCATGCAACAAAATAGGGAATAACTTCTTTCAAGTACCCAGCAGTAATGGTATATGTCAAAAGGACATAGGAGCCAATGGGAAGAGCTCCCAATAATAGTCAAGGTTGGATGAATTTGAGCCACAAAGAAGTATTGAAGTATAACCCAAAATATAAGAAAATGCTTAGAAATGTCCTTGAGTCAGTACTGATATAAATGAAAGATTGAAAGGATAAAACAGAATAGAATAAAAGAGTAGAATGGAATAGAATAGAAGAGAATGGAGTAGAATAGAATAGGACAGATCTCCCATGTCAAAGAATTTCAAATAACTTATGTAGACTCCATCCTCAAGGAGGGAGGAGGTGGAGCATGGCTCCCACTTCTTAAGTGTGAGCTCCCATAGTGACTTCCTTCCAAAGGGGAGCCTATGGAAGCAGAGTAGAAGAGTAACTTTACAGCAGAGAAAGTTGACAAACACTACTTCAGGCAGGTTCATTCAATATGATAGACATGTTGCTAGACTATACCCTTAATATGATATAATAAAAATGGCACTTTACCTCTGTGTTATTCCTCCCCAGATTTCCTAACCCCAATCTAATAAGACAAGCACCAAAAAATTCCCAATTGAGGGGCATTCTTCAAAATACCTGACCACTACTCAAAATTGTCAAGGTCACCCCAAACCAGAAAAGTCTAGAGAAACTGTCACAGCCAAGAGGAGTCTAGGAAACTTGATGACTAAATGCAATGTGGTATCCTGAATGGAATCCTAGAACCAAAAAAACCCCCAAAAAACATACAAACAAAAACCCAGAATATTAGTAAAAATTAAGGAAATCCCAATAAAGTATGGACTTTAGTTAATAATAATGTATGAATATTGGTGCATTAATTGTAATAAATATGCCATCCTAATGCAAGGTATTAATAATAGGGATGGAATGTGTTGTATAAAAGTGCTCTGTGTACTATTTTTGCAATTTTCTATAACCTAAAGCTTCTACATTTAAGGTTTTTTCTTTAAAAGCAATAACCCATGATCCCATAATCTAGCAATAAAAATAAACACTATAATACAGATTTTATTTTTTCCAGTGTCTACTTTTATTTTTCAAAGTGGTTTCATACTTTTTCATTTAACATTTGGTGGATGTATTTTGATGCCCTTATAATTCTACAACGTGATTTGTATTTACTTTAGAGTAGTTCATCTTAGGATGTATCACATTATTTAGTCAATTACCCATTGGTGTCTTTATTCTTCTCTAATTCCATTGAACTTATTAGGGAAGGAGTTGTGGGAAATGGAGGCTGTAAGAAGAGAGGAAGCAATTCTGACCTATTTGTTCATTGTGAAAAACAGACAGGTGGGCCTGGTCCAGTGCTGCCAGGGAAAACAAGAGATCTGAACACTGGTTTTAGCTTTGCAAATAACTTGGGTTATGGTTAATTTCACTTAACCTCTACAGTTCTTAGTGTCCTTACCTAGAAAATGAACTACATAATTTATTCAACTGTCCATTCCTAAAATATATTTTGCAAAAAGACCATTTGTATATATTTTGCAAAAAGACCATTTTTAAGAGAATTTTACGTATAGGATATGGCCAAGCATACTTAATATGATAAAGAGGGTGTAGAAAATAGATGACAGATACATTTCCTCTTTGCTGTATAATCAAAAACAATATCCATCATGTTGCACTAATGGAATACATTATGTGAAATGGCATGAAGATCTAACAGTTATGCAAAGGGGACTCTTCCCACTGAAGGAGAGGGAGGACTAGCCTATAAATGCTGCAAGGAGATTGAGTTCAGCTAAACACAAAGAAGGGGGTGTCTAAAATAGAATGGGCTTTCTAGAAAAATGAGTGGGTTCTTGTATGTGAAGAATTTTGCAGCAAGAGCTCGATGGAGAATCATCAGGGATATTCAGAAGCAACACCTTCCCTTGGTAGGAATTCAAACTGATGGCCTCCAAGTTCACTTTCAATTTTAAAAGGCTAGAATTTTTCTTTAATTTTAGGGACAACACCACCCTTTAGTCTACTGCCCGCAAGTATTGTCCCTGCTTCTGAGCTCTCTGTCGTCTCATTGTTCTCTAGATAACGGAATAATAGATTCCACTAGCAAAAATAAAAAGCATTGAATTATTAAAAGGATGGGACCTTTGGTTTGTTTATATGCATGGGTGGGCACCTCTCTAAGCATCCAATGAAGAACACGTCTTTCACTGTTACTAAGAAGGTGTGAAGAAATCAGCTCTTGAAACTCAATCTTCTATATGAAGTCAAGGCTAAAAGAAGAGAAGCTTCGGAAAACAGGTCTCCAGTTCACAATCAGACTTTAGAATTTGTCCTCAAGATTTCTCCCTCTTCTTTCCAGAACATGAACTTGTGAAAGCCCTGACAGGTAAGAAATAACACACACACACACACACACACACACACACACACACAAGCTTATTAATATGCAAGTTTTTGATCTGATGCAGGTGAGAGTTCCTCACCTTCACACTTTTGTTTACTGAGGGAGGATTTGTACCTGGTGAATTTTGTTTCCTAAATGGTGAAGGTGACTCACTGTTTTACACAGCAAAGGACTCCAATGTACTTACCCTTACCCATCTAGCCCATCAAGCAAAAACAATGTGAGGAATATCCCAAAATGTGTGTGTGTGTGTGTGTGTGTGTGTGTGTGTGTGTGTTTATTTTTTCCCCCTGGAATTCTGCTCAAAGGAGGAAATTAGACAGCCTCTCATTCCCCTTCATCTCAGCATAAATCAGATGGCTAGAAACCGGCTGGTTTCGGAAAAGGCGAGATGAAAGAGAAAATGGGGGGAAGAGGGCTGAAACCAGCCTTTAACAACTTTTTCTCCTAAACTTCAAAAGTACAGAGTGGGAACGTAATATTTTATGAGAAACCACATATTGCATGTAGATCTTCACACACACACACACACACACACACACACACACACACACACACACACGGCTGCTATTGGCAATTGTGTCCTCTCCAATCACCAGAGCCAGGAAGGGATTCCTAGAGCCCAAAGCACCGCGGAAGGATGGGGTCCCTGGCAGCCCTCGCTGCAGCTGATCCTCTGTGGACTGACAGCGTGGCGTTGCCAGGATCCCTCTGCACGCTTGGCGGCATGCTAAAAATGCAGCATCATCCTCTCTGCTCCTTTCCTTCAGCCAAAGAGCAGAATTCGAGGGCAAGGGAACCCGGAGGGGCAAAGCTGGCCGCCTGCCTCCAGGAGCTCCCTCCCTGCACCTCCACCCGCCTGGCTCGGGCTCTAATAGCCTCCGCTCCAATGGGCCAGCAGCGCCTGCTCCCATTTCCTCTTCCATTCACTCCAGCGGGGAGCAAAGAGGGAAAACAAAACTCTAAAAATAACTGTCAGCATCTTAAGAAAGGAAAAGCGTAGCTGCTCCCCCCTCTCGTCCTTCTACCCGCCCCCCCTCCCGCCCCCTCGCCCCATCCCTCCTCCCCCCTGTTTATGGGGCACATGTCTGCTTCTTACAACACCGAGGCACATGGTTCCCGCTCGGCGCCAAACCCCGCCAGGACGGAGAGGAAATCCACACCGGTGGGACGCTCCGCACCGAGCCGCCTCCGGCGAGGGAGGCCGGGGGACTGCAGCAGCGAGATGAAGGGCTAGTCCGCGGGATCGCAGCTCGGGCGGTGAGAGGGGGCGCGGGGGCGCGCGGGCGGGGGGAGGCCGGGGCGGGGGTGGGCCCCGCGGAGCCCCCGCAGCGCGCGGTCGCTGTTTGCCCGCCTTGCTGCAACTTGCTGCAGTGTTTGAAAGAGTAGTGAGCGCATGGAGGTGGGGCCGGGGAAAGACCAGGCGGAGGGGTCGGGGTGAGCGCGGAGGGGGGCGGGGAGGCGGCGGCGGTGGGGAGGGGGGTTTGGTCCCAAAGGGGGCGGGATGCGGGAGACCCGGGTCGCCCGGCGCTGACACGTGTCACATGTGCTTTTTAAGACGGCCGGGAGCGCCTGCAAGCTGGATCTGGTGGAGGATGCTGCTGCGGCAGGTGCTTCGCAGAGGGCTCCAGTCTTTCTGCCACAGGCTGGGCTTGTGCGTGAGCCGGCACCCCGTCTTTTTCCTCACCGTGCCCGCAGTCCTGACCATCACCTTCGGCCTCAGCGCGCTCAACCACTTCCAGCCCGAGAGCGACCTGGAGCGCCTGGTCGCTCCCAGCCACAGCCTGGCCAAGATCGAGCGCAGCCTGGCCAGCAGCCTTTTCCCCCTGGACCAGTCCAAAAGCCAGCTCTATTCGGACTTGCACACCCCTGGGAGGTATGGCAGGGTGATCCTCCTCTCCCCACCCGGGGACAATATTTTGCTCCATGCTGAGGGGATCCTGCAGACCCACCGAGCCGTGCTGGAAATGAAGGTGAACCACAAGGGCTATAATTATACTTTTTCCCATCTGTGTGTGTTGAGAAATCAGGATAAGAAATGCGTGCTGGATGATATTATTTCAGTGCTAGAGGATCTCAGGCAGGCTGCCGTCTCCAATAAGACAACAGCCAGGGTGCAAGTGAGGTATCCCAACACTAAATTAAAGGTATGCTCCTCCTGCATGCTTCTGCCAATTAAAGAGGCAGCACTTCATTTCTTGCCCTAAACAAGCAAAGAGAATGCAGAGGTCTCACTCATCTTTAAGACTCAGAAGCTGATGCTTCTTTCATTTTGGGGGGAAAAGATGGGCAACTGAGTGAAGAAAACAGGCAATGAATGGTATGACTAGATATTAAGAATATTCAAAATCAAACAAAACAAATGCCAAAAAATGGGGAAAAAAAGGAAAAAAAAATGATTCCTGAGACCCTGCAATTACATCTTTGTTCAGGGTTAATAAATCAGTGAATGGAAAGGGGGAGGGGGAATCCTGAACAATTTGGGGGATTTCTTTTCATTATGGGGCTCAATGTATTTCTTATTACTGATTACACATCCACCTGGCGCCATATCCACCTACCTGCATCTTCAGCCTGCCTTGATTTTGACATGTAGGGAGTTTTGTCTCAGTGCCCTGTGTGAGTCTGTCTGAGAGTAATGGGTATGAATGCAGTTGGGATTCCAGGAACTGTGTGTATGTGTGTTGGCATAGCAAAAGGAGCAGGGATTTTCTCTGTGTGAAAATGGGAATGTGCAGCTACCTGATGTACTAGTTTACTGAGCCCTGTTATCTTCTTCTCATGAAAATATTCAAACCAAGGCAAGATTATTATAATAGCAGAAGAAAAGAAAAAAGTCCACAATCAGCAAAAATTGCAAAGGATGGTTATTTCAGCACTACAAATACTGTGCTGTTTAAACGCTCAATTCAAATTGTGTTGCTCCAATGAGATTTCTAAACTCATCCTACACTGTCAGGATTGAGCTGCTGCGGGCAATGAGGCATGCAGTCTCCAGGTGACTGAAGTTTCAGGGACAAATGTGACTTCCAAAGTGTCACTGCACCATTTGTATGCTCGACCCTATGCAGGCTCAGTGGCTATACAACCAAGTATTCCCAAGACAGGGGTTTCCCCAGAAGAAGGAATTTTCTTTCTTCTAGTGTGTGTGACGAAGTGTGTGTGTGTGTGTGTGTGTGTGTGTGTGTGTGTGTGTTTCCATAGGGATCTTGGAATAGGAGGAACCCCAGGTTCAATAAATGGATGGCCTAAATATAGGAAATCGCTAATATTTCTGTTTATCTGATATAGTCAGCATCTATACACACAAAATAATTTTCTCATGATTTTTGAGATCAAAAGCCTGTCTTTCCTGAACTGAAGGAGGATTTAATGCACTTAGAAACTAGGGATCCTTGGGAAACCTCATCACCTGCTTCCTTTTAACATGTTTCCCTTATTTAAATGCATCTGGAGGCTGACAGGGTTTCAGCCCCTTGTTTAGTTGAACAGCCCCTTGAGGTTTAGTGAAACTGGACAGATGATTCATCAGCTTGAAATCTAGGTAAGGGCTTGTCTGCTTCACACTTATTGAAGGGAGTATGATGAATATACTAGTATGTGGTTGGGCAGCATGCTTTTCATTTTCTGGATCCTTTACATCAGCATTATTGCTTGCTAAACAAAAGGATGTGGTGGGGAGTGATCTTTCCAGCTACAGCCTTTTAACTGAGTTCTTTTCTATGCCAACATCAGGTGTAAAGAAAGGTTTGAAACTTCAGCTAGTTTTCCCTATTGAGGCTAGTTTGCACTTTATTGATATGCATTCTTAGTTGGGTCCCTTGTTTCCTTTATTCAGCAGTATTCTCTAGGTGTAAGAGCTTTGGCCAACTGGCCACTATGGACATTTTGTTTATCATTATGACATTTATAGTACAGACCCCTGAGGCCTTTAATTCACTTATTTAATAATTGTTAGTTGTGCTCCTATGGTTTACCAGGTGGTCCTCTCAACACATGAGATAGAATTTGAGGCATGAAAATCGGGGTTCTTACCCTAGTGGGGCTTAAAAGTAGTAGATGTCAGTGTTCCCACCCAGAGTTACCTGTAAGCAGGGACTCTGTAATTTTTGGGTCCATCATTGAGCCAACTCCATGCTAGGCCTATAAGAGGGGCTCCATCTAAACTTGTTGCCTTATTGGTTGGTCGATCTACATCTTGGTAGAAGTCAGAAGATAATCATAAAGGATTGGAGTAAAGATTATGAAGGTCAATGTAGTAAAAGTAGAATTATCCACTAACCATAAAATAACTGAATTATATATTGGCTCTATAAACTGTGAAGCCTTTATTCTGCTATATTCTAATGTCAATGTCTCCTCAAATGTGTTGGCTTGACGCTCGCTGCAGACATCAGTGGTGTCCTTAAGCAATGTTTGGGTAAATGAATCCTTGAAGAATCTTCTGTGAACAATGGGACCTCTCAAGCATCCAGATATAATCTCATACAAGCGAATGCAATATAAAATATAATTTGTGGAGTACTGTGGATACTTAGAATCCTATCAAAGACCCCCCCGATGATTTTCAGGTTAACTGCCTGGCACACAGTAAAGGGATATGGCTTATTTCAATTGCATGTTATTTGGAAATAATTTTTTAAGTCATGTGTGGCAGTGACATTCAAAGAGTGTCCCTACAATGCTGACACTTGCTAAAGTTAGAGACTCTCTGGTGTATGAGGTTGGAGAGAAAAGTTTTATATGTATGTTTTGTGGCCCTCTGATTCATTTGCTTTCCTCTCTCATATTTGGATCACCAACCTTTCCAACTCAGGACAATATGGAAAATTTTAGTGCTGGAAGATGTTCTTGGAGGGCAGGGAACCAGAAGTTGAAGAAAAATGCAAAATAAATAGCAGTGGCTGGATGATATGACGAGGGATTGGCATTTTCCTGACATGATATAGCTTAGAGGTAGTCTGAAGATGTCTAAACACCGATTGACAGAATGGAGTGGTCAAACACCTTAGTTATGACAACCATGAGGGCGCCTTCTAAATATTATTAATACACCCAAGTAGTACTGAACACAGAAAGGTTTAGGACTTCTGATAAACATGATTATCTTGACAAGGTGATCCAGACAAGCAGGGACACAGAAAGTTACTAGTATAGAATTCTAAACAGAGGCTCAGATAAAGCTGGCATGAAAAAAGCAGCAGTCAGCTTAGAATAATACTACAGAAGGAATGAAACATACACATTTTTTAAAGCTGTGAGGGAAAGAGGCCAGAATCTGAAATCCCTACACCTATATAATGTGAACTCCATCATTGTGCCTATCATTATAATTTTTTTTAAATATATTTTATTGATTTTTTACAGAGAGGAAGGGAGAGAGATAGAGAGTTAGAAACATCGATGAGAGAGAAACATCGATCAGCCACCACCTGCACATCTCCTACTGGGGATGTGCCCGCAACCCAGGTACATGCCCTTGACCGGAATCGAACCTGGGACCTTTCAGTCCGCACGCCGATGCTCTATCCACTGAGCCAAACCGGTTTTGGCCTATCATTATAATTTTTATGTGGTTATATCTCTGATTAGGCGCAAAGGCCATGTCTTATATTCCTTCTATACTATTCACATTCCTCCAGCCCAACCTTATCTGTGTCTACATAGATAGTAGTCACATCATTGATTAGTAGGTTGATTAATTTGTACATTTATGCTGTATTTTCAAAAAATCATCATCACTTTTTAAACCTCTGTGACATGCTTTTTGAAAAAAAAAAAAAAAAAAAAGGCATTATCTACATTTTCCTGATTTCTATAAAGTACTTTTGACTCCAATAATTGGGGGGTCTTTTTTTTCAACTTTTGAAACATCCATTTTTAAACTTTCAGTTAAATATATACATATTGTTGAAACTAGTCTCGTGATTAAGATGAGACTGGCACTTAGAGTCATTACGCAAGGACTACTCTGGACTCCAGAATGTGTTTTCATTATAATTCAAGGGGCTCAGGTGTTGCAGGTAATATTTTTCTGCCTCTTAGGTAGGCCATCATGACTGCACTTTTCCATCTGGCTAGTTCCAAGAAAGGAAACAATTCCCATATGTCCCCTGTTCTTTATTTTGGCCACAGTGAAAAAACAAATAAAGGAGAAACAGACAAATGTGGTCCATGGCGAATGGTGAGAAAGGAATGACACAGATTTGATTCCCCTGCAGCCTGTTCTTCCCATTAAGTTCCATTAATAACATACCTCTGGACAAGTGTTTAAGTGGAGTATATATCCTTCAATGTACCATATTTAGGAATAGGAACAAAGAAACACTTTCTGCTTTTTAACAAAACATAGTGTTTCTTTGGGTTCATGTGGAATACATCTTCCCGGTTGTGGAAAATGTTGCCATTAGTTTTTTAGTTCCTATCTCAATGGAAGGACATCTTAAGCCAACATGGAAACTGAACACTAACAATATTTTTAGAGATTGCAAGAAAAGTTATTCCATAGACTTCTTTCCCTAATTCATTCTAAACCCTCTAAAGACATCCATGTCGGGATCTTCTCTGATTTAGGAAAAAAACACGGCTACCTTACTGAATGTTCTGGTTGAGTCCTAAGTGATGTCAGTGTTTTATATATAGTCTGTCATGTTTATAAGTCTGAGCCAGAGGGAGTCTTTATTTTCATTTTAGAGGTAAGGAGACTAAAGACCAGGAGGTTAAGCAATGTTGAAGTCCCCAAGGTGGGGCATTTTGAAGCTGGAATTTAAATCCAGATCTGTCTATACTGACCTTCATATTCTTTTATTTTAAATATATTTTTATTGATTTCAGAGAGGAAGGGAGAGGGAGAGAAAGATAGAAACATCAATGATGAGAAAGAATTATTGATTGGCTGCCTCTTGCATGCCCACACCGGAGATTGAACCACAACCCAGGCATATGTCCTGACTGGGACTCGAACTGTGATCTC